TCGCTATTCAAAAATTAGTTAAATTGGGTTCAGTTTAACGTCTCTTTTTAAGAAGTGATTCGATTTCGGTCTCTGTTTTGAATTTATCGAAATGTAACGAAAAAATAAAAGGTATATTCATTATCGCATAACGAAAACCGCATCAGACAGAAACTCGAAAAAATTGCTGATTTTATTTTTCAATATTACGATTAATTAGTTTTTGATAGGTTCTATTAATTTCTTTTCTAGTAGCTAGAGTCATAATCTTGTTAACATTGATCTGATCCCAATGCGCATATCGAGACCAAAATTAGTCCGGCATATGAGAAACAAAGATATGCTGTTGTGATCCACTAACTGAAAGATATTTCAAAAACCTATGCATTCACAATAGAAACAACTTAACCATATTTCACGTTTTAATAGCAAAAAAACCTCTACTTAACGTTTTCCATTATTCAATAAAATACTCTAATCATAATTCATTATCAATGATCGATTATTTTAAATATTTACTAACCAACAAGACATGTACAAGTAGAAAACATATTTTGTTGAGATGTCATTATTCTACAAATACCATATGTTCCACATTGTTCTCGAGTACATTGTGATGATGATATTTGAAATGTAACTGACATTGATACATTATTACATATATTCTTTGAACTAAATTTCAAAAATATATAGATTATTTAAATAAAAAATTATTAGTTGAAAATTTACTCATTGCAATTATATTCTAATGTTAAATACCAAAGAGCCATTTCAGGATAAGGTAATGATCTGACTACAACTGAATTTTTATTAATATATATTTTATAATCAATTTCACATGTATAATATCGACGTGGTCGATTTTTAGATAAACATCCAAGAATACTAATATTTGCATTCAATGGAGCATAAGGCTAAAATAAATATATAAATAGTGACTATCAAAACTATTTAACAAGGTTTAAATATATAAGAAAATGAAAATGATTATTGGATTTCTAAAGACAAGATCTCCAGAAAATTTAATCTCCAGTGTTCAGCACGTGTGAAAATATAATTTTATTCAGGCTACATGCAGCGATAGAACAAACAATTCTCTATAAAATGTGACGTCTCGATTTTCTTCGACTGAGATACAACGATCAGATATGAAGTTTTCATAGAAAATAGGAAACGACTTCAATGCATTGACTTAAATCTCTGTTGAGGATTTGTTTTTTTCTGAAAATCTCATCTTAAGAATCCACTAATCATTTTTATATATATTTCTCTGTGATATGAATTCTGCTAAGCGTTTAAGATAATGAAAAAAAAAATCTTGTTGAATAATTTTATTTGTTAGTGTAAATCGGTTTTCTACCTTGATTTGAGTTTCAAAATCAATATGTATTGTTCCACCAATATTTCTATCATCAACAATAAATTCATATGAATAAACAGATGAATCACTTCCATTCGATGTTATTGAAGTAACATTGGTATTTGTATACATAGGTATATATAAAAAATCAAAATAATAATTAAACATAAGACGTCGAGTTGGATATGACGGAATACAAGTATCATTATATGAATAAGATGAACAGTCTAAAAAGTTTTTTTGTTTTTTAATTTTGAAATTAAAAATTTCGAGATTAATTATGAATGTGAATAACCTGTAGAATGAATAAGCATCGAGCCATGAATAGGATTATTTAAACATGATAAATTTTTTACTGATATTTGGAAATAAATCCAAATAAATGCAGCTAATTGATCGAGTTCTATTGAACACGAACCATTTTTACAAACTAAACAAAACATAATCTTTTTTTCAAACATTTAATTTTTTTAATAAAAAACAAACCAGTTTGATAATCATATTGAACAACACTCGGTAATCCATTCAATCGTCCTAATATCACTATATCACAATTAGAAAGCCATTCGGATACAAGAGTAAGTTGAAAATTGCCTATTGATGTATAATATCTAAACAAGAAAAACATCATATCAATTTTTTCTTTGTCGGACTCTATCATTCATATATCTAAACTATCTCATAATAAGTAAGCTGCGATTTGTAAAACACTCGATGACCGAACTTTTCGCCTCATGAACAAAACGTTATAATATCTTTTCTGGCTGTGGGTACCAGTACGAGTGTGTGCCTATGGGTGCGGATTTATCGCTGTGAGTCCTAGTGTATAGTTGTGGGTGCTGGTGTATGGCTGCAGGTGCAGATTTGTGACTATGGATCCCTGTGCGTGGCTGTGGGTTTCTGAATGTAGCTATGAGTCTCTGTGTGTGGTTGTGGGTGCATGTGTGCGGCTGTGAGTGTTAGCGAAGGAAACAGCCACACACTCCCACTATCATGAAGCCATTTTCTGATATACAAAGGTTTAGTATTAAGAGATATTGCAATAGTTTGTCCATTGGACGAAAAGTCCTAGTACTAAATATTCTTGGTCCAATTCGTCAAGGAACTGCATTGGTCATTTCGATTAAATACTTATTAGGCTTTTGGTTTCATTAAGTAGAGTTTTATCCTGTTTGAAAACATTTTGTCACCAATGAAGTGCAGTTGCACTTGTCTATTTCATTATCTGTTATGTTTTCACTAACTATGAAAGGATCAATCTCAATCATTTTGATTTTGTATTGTTAGTTTTTATCAACATAGCCTCTTTCCGTTCTAAGTATAGACAGGAAGAAGACGCTAAAGATCTAAAAAATTTGTATTACGTATTAGTGCTGTTTACAATGTTGATGATTTTATATAAACTGTGAACTTTAGAATAGTACTTAACGAGATAAAGATTGTCTGTCTTGCTTTTTCCTCCTGTATGGTCTCCAACTCTAAGTTAAATAATGCGTGAGAAGCGTTATGATTATATGGTTAATAAAACAATAGGATATTAAAATGTAAAAGTTATATACGATGCATAAATGAATGTTGAACTATTTGATAGAATAATTTGAAGTTGTTGATTAAGAGTAAGTGTCACTGGAGCTGGTTCAGCTTGATAGTCAAGCCAAGTTGTTAGATAAATGTTACAGTTACTTGACGATCTCTATATATTTATTGTTAAAATAAAACAATTCATGTTTTATTTACATACTTTAGATTGGGTATTTGTTGGTAAGTGTTCAACAAATACCTGAAAGACATTCATTTAAGCATTAGAAATGTTATTTAAGCTCTTTTCCTTTTATTTACCAGAGCAAACCATGTTCCTCTCAAAGGATTTTCCAACTGAACTGTTCCATTAGATACTGTTCGATTAAATACTGTTTTAGTTAAATCATGACGAGTACTTATATACGTTTCAGGAAATGATTCATTTCGTGGATTAATCAATGGATAAGCACCATATTGAAGATCACTGATTAGGAACAAAAAAAAATCTTATTTTTTTATAAAGAAAAAGTAATTTTCATTTGATCATACAAATGAATATTAGCAAGATAATTGGTACATTGTCCATTTGTATCAATAATTATTGACCAATTAGCTAATTTTGTTGTATCATATATATTAAATTTCAAAAATTTTACACTGGAATAATCCGTATATTCATATATACGAATACGAGAATAGTATTGTCCAAAATCATAACCTAGATTAAAGACAAATATCATATAACATATTGAAAGAAGCTCCGGATAATGATTACAGTCACTAAGACAACCAAAAACAGTATTATATATTGTCGTTTCATAACAGTTTGCAGTCGTAAATATCTGTAAATTTACATTTGGTAGGCGCAGTATTTCAACCATATTTTATCATACCGCAGTGACGCAGCCAGAGGGGGGATTATGGAAATCGGTCCCCCCCCCCCCCCCGAAAGACCGAAATGCCTGGAGGAGGGTACAGGCTAATTCGTTTTTGCTAAACAAAAAATGCCTTTTTTCTATTACGGTCCCCCTCCCCAAAAAAAATTTCTGACTGCGTCACTGTCATACCGTACACACGTGGTAACGGTTCGAAAATCAAGTATTCAACCGTTAACAATACAATGGAATACAGGCTCTTAGTTAGAGACCGTCAGGCTGGTCTCGGATCTGGACCTGGTCGAGTTCGGATCCGAATCCGAGCCTGCGTCAGAGTCCGGATTCAAATTTTTTGGGCCTGTCCAGCTGTATTCATAATACTGCGCCCACCAAATAGAGAAAAAACCATCTAAAACCACCGTTTACAATCGTACTTATTTAACCACGGAGATATATGATTGAATCAAGTTTTCGAGTGTATTGAATAATGACGATGTATGCTATCGTATTGAAATAGATACAGAAGTTAAATACATAGAACATCGTATTCGAGGAAATGAAAATAAATCGTAAGACGACATGTGAATAATATCATGATCTTTACTTCTCTCTCTTCTGAATCTTGATTTAGATAGATCCATATCCAGATTCAAACTCAATAATTTCTATTGACTAGAAGTTGTATTAATAAATTACGTTTTTTTTTTCGTTCATTGGCAGCATTCAAACGAGGAAGACTCATTGAATTTCTATTTAAATATAAAGTTTTAAGATTAATTTCATACATACCACGAAAGGAATTGTTCGTTGCTGAACAATAAGAAATAAGAATAATCAATATAAACTTAATCATCACGAACAAATTATAATACAACGATTTCATTGAATATAAGAAACAACAATATTAAATTATACTATAAATTGTTTTATTTCTTTTTTTTTCCATCCTATCTAAAATATTAATTATTGAGTTTTAAGAAAAAAAAAAGCAACAAGAGAGTTCAACAAATTATGTTTACTTGTTATTTTCCAAACTCTCTTTACATAAATGGCTTTCTTTTGTTTTTTTTTTTTGTTTTTTTTCCTTTAAAAAATTCACAATCATAGAAAGCAGAACAGATGTGTTGCATTGAAATATAGCAGACGATAAATATGAAAAAAGAAACGAAGAATAAAACAGGTTCTATTTAATAATAAATTAAAAAAACTAATAGATGATTTGGATAATTATAATATTTCTTTTTTTTATGTTGTTGTTGTTGTGGTTAAAATATATCATCACATCTAGACCAATCTTGTTTTAATTTCGCTTCCCAATATTCATTTGTAAATATATGCATGTCTGAATGAGTCATTGAATCAAATTGTTTAACAAACCATTTCGGTTTAAATATATCAATTCCATTTCCTTGTGTTTCACGAATTTTTCTTGAATGTCGTTGTTTATCTTCAAGACGTAATTTTTCTTGATTAGCTTCATCCCAACGTCCTTCTTCCATTAAACGTTGATCGGGACGACGACGAGAATCAGTTGGTGCAACATCTGATTCATTTTCATTTAATTCAATAGCTAATTCAGTAAAATTATACATTTTTTCCATATATGCTGGTGGCATTTTCCGTTGCCATAGTACTTTCATATTATGTGTTTCCATATGATGAGAATGTGTATGACGATCTGATGTTGATTCAACAGGACCACCTTCAATTTTTCCTGTCCATGTACCTTGAAAGTAAAAAAAAAAAAAATTAATTAATACAAAAAAAAAAAAAAAGAAATAATCGAATTTTGTTTTTATTTTACCAGATAATACCCATCGGGCTTGAGAATTTGAATCAGTTATAACACCGGTTACTTTATGTGGAACATCTTTTGAAAAATAACTATATTGAAAATATTTTAATTTACATATATCTTTTGTTGTATGATTAATTATATCCATTTCACCTACCTATAATCAAATAAAAGATTATAGAATTTTAAATGAAAATTTACTATTTAACATACATTATCTATCCATAGTTTACCAACAATTATATTATTAACAAGTGTAGTTACTTTTTTCCATGTAAAATGATTACCAGTATTTTTAAATACAAGATGAGAATAACCTAAAAATTAAATTCTATTTTCTATTTATTGAATAAATATTTAAAGTAACTCTCAAAAACAGATTTTATACAGCAAGAGTTGATTCATATTCCCGGTAACTTTCCAGAATGGTCCTGATTAGAGATCAGTAGGAACATTCTGACCCCATCAGGGTCGGAGGCAAGGTAAAAAGACGAACAAAGAAAAACAAAAATATCTAATCGTTAGAATTCAAAGCTTCATCAACGAAAGAAAAAAAGAGGTGTGGATGTGGGTGTGAGTGGGCGGAATGTACAGAAGACCTACCGACATTCACACATTCATCCACATAATTAATAGAATCATCTTGTTTCTTTATTAACATCTTCGAGTTCGCTTCATGTTAACAACTTTAAAATCATCCTTTTGTTTTATATACAAACGATGAGAAAACCTTGTTTTTTTCTCAATTTATTCCTTTAAACTGGTGAACAATCAAGACTTGTCTGCATTTCACTGTTAACATAATATTAGACATCAGTTATTAATAAGAAAAAAATCGGGGAGAAATGAAAAACATTTCGAGTTTCGGGACTAAAAAGTTTGACACCACTGATCTCTAGTCTCTGTGTGTGCATAATTTTCAGTTCTGGTTCGGACAATTTTATTTGTCTCATGATCCCGACTGCTGTCATGAAGACTAGAATTGATTGCGGACGTCACTAATCATTTCATTCTGTTTAATAAATGTTGATTAGAGATGCGTGGAACTAACGAGGGAAGGCCACCAACTGTCTCCTCGCTTTTGAGCTGAAACTCAGTTGACAGTAGGTAATCGAACGTGCTGATTCCGAATATTACAATGGTTTTTTCCCGCTTTTGATTTAAAGACCCATTTTTTAAAAATCTTGGTTTTTCAACCGAAAAACCATTTTCACTGGAAAATTTTCTTGACCCGTCCAAATGAAAGAGTACGTCGTCAAACTTACAGAAAACAATTTTTCAAGGTTCTAAGCGAGGTTTTGAGCGAGTTTTCTGTGTCTAAAACTTAAAAAAAGAGGGAAAAACCGCTAATATTCTTACACAATTCAGCCAGTCTAATGCATAATCAATTGAGCGCAGATGTATTCACGCCAATGATTAAATACGCTTGGTTCTCCAGTGGCTTAATACGTGAAGATCCTTCTCCATTTGTCAGCGTTAATCAAGTTTGCTTTGCAAGTTCAGGAACTCATATGCAGTGTAAAGAAAAAGACTACGATGAGTCTGTTTTTATAACTTGTGCTGATGTTCGAAGAAATTGTGTTTTCAACACTTTTTTACCAGTTATCATTTCCATTAAGAACACAGCAAATATTTTTACGAATGATGACTCTGTGAAATTGCTTTATTGCCCTCTTTAGCACAAACTGCTAATAACATGTGTGAAAAAAACAGTAGTTTTTCTTCCATAAATTGTGTAAGAATATTAGCGGTTTTTCCTTCTTTTTTTTAGGTTTTAGACGCAGAAAACTCGCTCAAAACCTCGCTTAGAACCTTGAAAAATTGTTTTCTGTAAGTTTGACGACGTACTCTTTCATTTAGACGGGTCAAGAAAATTTTCCAGCGAAAATGGTTTTTCGGTTGAAAAACCAAGATCTTTAAAAAATGGGTCTTTAAATCGAAAGCGGGGGAAAACCATTGTAATATTCAGAATCAGCACGTTCGATTACCTATTGTCAACTGAGTTTCAACTCAAAAGCGAGGAGACAGTTGGTGACCTTCCCTCGTAAGTTTTATTGATCTCAATTCTTGTAACTTCTGTTTTCATTGATAAATCTAATTTGGTTCGGATTCCGGTGATTTTAGTTTTTTGAGTTTTGACCTTGATAAAACTATTCTAGAATTTATTCAATAATCGTTTTGATTCATTTAGTCGACGACTACGTTATTGATTTATGTTCTGATTAATATGATTTCCAAGATAATTAACTTAAAATTATCAAAATATTTAATTATAAAAGTTCTACATAAATTAAAAGAATCTTTTGTGAAAGTGTATTTATTCTGAATGAGAATGCTAAAAGTTCTTATCATGATTAAAGATTAGTAAGCAGCACAATTTATTTTGTAACTTGAGAACATCTTTATTGATATTATTAAATAACAATGAAATCTTACCCATTGGTGTTATACTTAAATATTGCCCACGAAATTTTGATGCCATAGTAAATTCCTGATATAATGTCCAACCTTGTCCTTCAGAATGTGTTGCAACAGCTGGTGGATGATGACTAACTTGTTCTAAATAAAAAAAGAAATTTTTTTTTCCTATTAAAAATCTCAATTCAAAAAAAAAGAAAATTCTCCTACCAGCCATTGATCTCCAACCAAGATCATCTGTTCTATCACATTCAAATGTTTCACCAAGTATTGGATTAAATGGTTTATTATTTCGTGTTGCTGTTGTTGAATATGATGAAACTGTAAATGCAGCAACATATGCTAATTGTTCCCAATTATTATTTGTTTTAGCTGCTGCATCAAGTACAGAACTATATTCAAGTTCTTCAGTTATACGTTGTAACATTGATAAAGGTTCACTAAAATTAACTGGTATGGGAATTTTTGATAAATCTTTTCCAACACAATTTTTTATTATACTCCATAAATTAATACTAAATATAAAAAAATCTTATTCATTTTTTTTTATTATGAATTAAAAAAAAACAAAGTTAAACCTATGATTTGGACGTTCGGGAATACGATCACGACGTTTACGTTTTAGTATAGTAGATTTTTGAATATTATTTGTAGTTTTAAGTACAGGTGCTGGTGATGGAATATGATTCATTGTATCGGGTTTTTTTGATCCTTAAGAGTTTTGTTTTTTTGTCTATCATTTATAGTAGAATAAAGAATAGTTTTAAACATACTTTTTACAATAACTACAGGTAAATTTTCTTCTTCTTGTTCTTCTGATTCACTTTCATCATCATCCTCATCACCATATGAACTAACATCATCATCAACAATATGTGTTGGTTGATTTTCATTATTTGCTGTATGTTGTTGAAATCTATAGAAAATGAAATACAAATTGTTGAAAATGTTCTTGTTTTTTTTTTAACATACGGAATACGAAAAACACTTTCAGCATCATGGAATTCGTCACTATCAGATGAATAACTATCTTCATTAGTATTACGTATATCAGATGGTTTTATTGCATTTTGATCTTTACGTGATGCACGTTGTATTTTTTTTTCTAATTTTGCACTTTGTGATGCAACTTGTTCACACATACGTTCCATACGTATACGTGCATCACGTTCAAATTGAATAGCTTTTTGCCATTTACGACCTTGTTTTTGAATTATTTGTACTAATTCTTGACATGCATTAAGCATTGCTTAAAAAGAACAAATAATTTACTTTTCATCTTAGAGAATAAAAGATTGATAAAATATTCACATAAAAGAAATAAATCATTTAATTATAAATATTAGACAAACAGGATTTAGTGATTAAAAGTTCATTGTATTTAAATACTTTACTGAAATGAAATACTCCAATAAATGAAATAGTGTTAAATTACATGTTTACTTATAAGTGCTCAGAAATTAAAAAAAACCATCTTTCTCTTTATTCTTTATATTATCTCTTCCTTCTAACAGATGAAAGTCACCAAGAAAAAAAAGACCAATTCATCATGAATATACTTGTTTACCTGTTGATGTAATACGAAATAATGTAGCACGTTCATTAACACTTTTAATTGTAATTAAAGTTGCTTCGGATTTATCAATTTGTTCAAGATCTGCAAGTGTTCGATGAAGTGCTTGATAATGACGATTTATTAAATCCATACACATTTTAAGATCATCTAATTTTGCATCTAATGTTTTATTCATTGTTGCTAATTCAACTCGATCTGTTGTTTGTTTTGTTTGATCATTTGAATTTTGTTGTTTATTTAAATCATCATTTATTAATCCTTCATCATCTGAATCTTGATATTGTTTACGTACTTTTATTGCTTTTTGTTTAGCTAATTCTAATGCATTCATCCAACGTTGTTTATCATTTTCATTATTTGTACGTAAATGTATTATAGTTGAACCATTTGATATAACAAAATGACATGAATCATTTGATGATAATTGTGCTGATTCAAGATAAACTGTACCACGACATGTATGAGTCATTTCATCTTGTGAACGATAATATGATAAGATTCCAGCTTGTAAAACAAACCAACGTTTTTGGTAACCTTTTAAATACTAAAGCAACAAACAAACAAAAAAGAAAAGACTCATTTATTTATTATGTTTTTGTTTACATTTGTCCATTTATATAACCATCCACGCATTTCATCTTTTCCATTAGCAACTGATGGTGTTGTTGATTGCATATATTGCGGTTGTTGTTGTTGTTGATAATGCATTGGTGGTGGTACAATACCCGTACCTATAGCACCTAAATTAGATGAACTAGCTGTATTTTGCATTGTATTTGATATTGCTGGATAATTTGATGATAATGAAATAGGTTGACTATCTATTTTAGGGAAAAAAAAGAACGTTGAATGTTTCTATTTTTATGTTATTCATTAATTTTTTTAAATTTTAGTATTTACCACAATCTTTATTACTGGAATGAGTTGATAATTGAGGGGAATATTTTAATGTTAGATTAGAATTATTTGTCGTCTGAACATCATCAGAAATAATCGTGACAGAATTAGTACTGATGTTATTGTTGTTGGAGTCTAAAAATAAAAATTAAAAAAAAAAAGATTTCTTATTATTCATTTCCTTTTTTTTTGTAGATATTTTTATATATTGTTAAAGCAGCTGTTGTAATGATAATAGTCACTTAAACAGAGTAATTTTTTGAGTTAAAAGAAAGTCACATACGTTTTATTCAAAGCATATGATAATTAAAAAGCTTGTTTAGATGAAGATTAAAATAAAAGCAAAAGTTTTTCGAAGAAAGTAACTGATTCTAATATATGTACGATCTTTCATAATTGATAAAAGAAAGTAAAAAAAAAATGAAGGATCAAATAATGACATTGACTGTTGATAATCAATATTGTCTTTGTCATCAAATAGAAGAAAACGAAAAAAAAAACAAGTTAAACTACTGTGACACATACAATAATAAGTAGGACCATGTTTATGCTGATTACGACGTGTTCCAATAAATGGTGGACGACATCTCGAAACAATCTTGCGCATACGATGTGGCATCTCTGTTAGTTTAGTTATCGACGGCAAAAGACGTAAAGAACAAGAGAAAGAGTTGAAGACAACAAAATAGATGCAAAATAACAGAACAACGCAAACAAGTAGAATGAGATAGAGTCAGAATGCGGTAATATGGAAGAACGATTCGAAAAAAAAAGAATGTTTTCTTCTTTTTTCTTCTCTTTTCTTATTCATATTTTGGTGAAAATATCGTGTGACACTCGAAAGGTCGCTCATGATTATTGTTATATAAACTAAACACACAATACAGAGTGCAAAACTGAAGATATATAAATGTATATCTACAGCAGTATATATGTCAGTATTAAATAGTTGATGTGTGTGTGTATGATTAGTTCTAGTAAATCTTACCACCAGTAGAAAGGGTTTTTAATATTATATCTGGTATAATTCGTTCTATTAATCGTACTGGTATGAGTACAGTATTTTTGATATTATCCATTAACTGATGTCCCACGTCTGGAGCACGATTTGTTGCCATCAAAAAACAAAAGAAAAATTTCTTATTGAAATGATTTCAAAAATTTTTAAAAAATCTATATTGTTAAATGATATTTTTGGATAAATATAATTAATATTAAACACTTAACTTACGTCACGTATCCATAAGAGAGAGAAAAAACAAAAGGAAAAACAAAATTATCATGCAAGAATGTTTTCATCGTGCATGCAACATTCCTTTGTTTTTCTTTACTTGACGAGCACTATATAAAAGAAGAAATACAAGGCAAAACATGCGAGTCTCATTTAATTCCACTATTTTACAAGCATAACATTAGTCTCAAGAGAAAAACAAAACACAATCATTTTTTTACATGGACTAGTAAGCATGTCAAATGGACATGAAAAAAACGACATTATTTTATTTACCTCCTTTTTATTGGATATATAATAAATGCAACTAATTAAATAATCTATAACAATAACAAATAATTGATCTGAAAAACAAAACAACAGCACACATTGTTTATCATGTACTATTTAAAATAGCTGTAAAAGTGACAGTTAATGTCACAGTTAATTCGTTTTATTTCATAATTTTTTTAGTAAATTCATCGTCTTCATCGACTGTAACCTTAAAAAAGAAAGTTTTTTTTTAAATAAAAAGGAACAATGTAAAATATGAATTAATTTACTCGATCAACACGATGTTTATATATTCGACCATCACCACGTACATAAAATGTTGAAAGACCATCAATATATCTTTGATAAAAGAAGATTAATAAAGATTTAGAATATTCAAATTCTTACTCAACATAATCACGTATATTTCCAACTACATCTCGTGGTTGTTTCCAACCTTTAAGAACACCAATAAACGATTTATTTGTTAGACCTGATATACGCCAACGAATTTTAACACAATTTGATTCTTCATCAATAGTTGTTTTAAGTAATTGAATAGTTAAATTCATTAATTTAAAATTTAATTTTAATCGAATCCAAAATAATGACAAAGCATAACTACCAGCTCCTCTAAAATTAAACTCATTTAGTTTTCTTATATAAAAAGACTATTATTGTTGACAGAATGAAGGATAAGGATTATTTCAACATATTTCATGAAACCTCTTTAGTTTTCAAACCTTCATAAAATAATCTATTTTTAACTATAAGCATTCTTCAAAATTGCTTTTTTTTTCGCTAAGAAAAACCCATAGGAATGTTCATTTCTACTTTCTTATTCTAATAGACAAGAGTTTCTTGAATAGATTTGTTATCATTTTTTTTTTTCATATGTATGTAACAATTTCATATGAAAGTTTCTAAAAACAAATTTGTAAATCATCTAAAGTTCATTTAAAAAGATTTAATCGATTAATTCATAAGCTTAACTTGTCATATTTCTATTTTATTCTCGATAATTGCAAAATTATAATAAATCATGTAAATATGTAATTTATCAAAAAATTAGTTACCAAGAATTTCAATTTAAAATTTAAATCATTTTTTCATAGATAAGAATTCATAATAAACTTAAATCTTAGTCATCAAGTCCTCTTTAATGTGTCAATATGAGTGTAGGATACTTGACATTGACCTCTATCTGAAAACATTATTTTTTTGTTTATGTCATACTCTTTTAGAAATCATTCCTAATGCAATGTTTGCCTTTCTCCAACTTGATAATTAACTAAATGGAAAGCAACATACTTTGTAATATTGTATCCTTATTGACACATCTACTGTTATAATGTGTAAAAATACAATATATTTCTCGTACATTAACTCCGTTGAGTATACAACAGTTGTGTCTAACATAGAGAACACCGTAGTTCGATTATACAAATGATTATTATTTAGTTTATTTATTTATGTATTCATAAGTAGAACTTCTTTAGCCTCTCATTATTTCATATTGTGTTTAAACACGTTATGTGAGGAGTGTAATCAATGTAGTGATATTAAAATATTTGAATCACAAAACTATAGGTTTTACAGATAACAGTTTTTGATAAGAAATTTGATTCATTCTGCATAGTGTCCAATGAAGTTTTTCTTATAATATCTAATATTTTGTTTTTGTTGAGTCTTTATTAAACTCAAAATTGTATATAAAATATGGAGTTTTGAATAAGTTCGACTACTGAAAGGTAATTTTATTTTTCGAAAGCGAAAGTCGACTTCGAACTCAACCGATAACTTGACAATTTTATTTTATTTTTTTTTATCTCTTCACAATGTTTTATCGTAGTGTTATAAAACTTAATAAAAAACATAAAATAAGAACAACTTTCTAAGACATTTTCTTGTAAATTCTACAAGCTTTCAATATTTTTACATAGCTTTCTTCTTACGCTATACTAAAAATCAATGTAAAAATTTTTGCCTTACTTATCATCAAATATCAATAAAAAAAAATGTTAGACTTTAAAAAGCAATCGTCGAATACAAATTATGACAAATATTGACTATATTCAAATAATAAATCTATTAAATGATTGTCACAGGAGTTGTTTGAGAAAAGAAAAAGATAATCAGTTTCTTTTTTTTTATTATATTTAATTGATTTATTCGTTTTTGAAATCTAGTTTTTTTTTTGCTTTGCATACTTAATAATTTTTGGTGGATCTTGATAATAATTTTCAAAAGTCATATCAGCTGTATAAAGAGCATATGGATGCATTCGTTTACAAAAATCTGGTAACTGAAAAAAGAATATTTATATGTGAAAAAAAAAAGCATGACAATAAATAATTTATTTACGATTTGTTTAAGTTGATTTTCAATATAACGTAAATGTTCAATTGTTGGTTGATCATTTGGTTTACCAGGTGGAAATTGAAAAGGTAATTTATTATTTTGTATAGTTGATGTCTGTTTTTCATTATTTGATGGTGTATTTAGTGTAATACTACGTTTATTATAATGATTAATTTTTCTTTGTATTGAAATATAAGCTAAATTTGATAATAATTGATTAGAATTTTGACGTACAATAAATGTAGATAAATGACGACAAATTATATACGATCTATTAGATGAAAAGAATAGGATAGACATATCTAAAAGAATGTTTGTTTCTTTTTTTTTGTTTTTTTTCTTTAATATCTGATAATATATTTATGAGCAAACATCAAGCTGAATTAATCATGTGTTGTTTTTTTTTTATAGAAGAACGGAAGAAAATGAACACACCGGCATAGCAAACAACAGTTCAATGAGTCTTTTCTCTTATTATCTACATTTGTTTTGTTTTTTGGTATTATAAATGTTAATCGTTTGATGTCATCGTTGTTGTCATCGTCGTTGTTTTCCGATAGATTTTAGTTTGATCATCATTGCCACCTTGTAACTATAAAAAGAAAAATGAATATAAGAATTATTTATCTTTTTTGGATATATATATAAAGATTGAACATTTAACGTCTATGAATATTTCATTAACTTTTTGATAATGAAGCCGAAATATAGTAAAACCGGTATTTTCAATATTTGATGTATTCTCACATAGATGTCACTAGTAATAGTATTAGGTCTAAGTCTAAACTAAGCAATTACGATGTTTATTATGTAGCTTATTACTTTTAAACTAATATCTAATAACATTAAAACTTATAAACACAACAAATTAATAATGACTGTAATTTAAGAAATGATCAGTATATATTATTGAATGGTCAGTACACTTCATTATAAAATGATCAGTTTATTATATACAGAATTGTCCAAAAACAGTCCCGGTAGTCTTGGATTGCAAATAAATTTTGATAGGAACAAGATAGAGAGTTGTGACTTTCACCATCCGAAAGAATGGATGAAGATACATTGAATCATATATTATAGGTTTTTCTACGATATTAATCAATTTTCTAAAAACATTGGCGGAAAAAAATGATTTCTTATAAAATCAGAAAAACGCAACAATGTGATTTTTTTTCACAGCAATTGATCGAAAAATCGATTCAGAATTTCGAATAGTAACTTTCAAAGTCTGGACATTGCACAGTTTTTGACTAGCGATTCGAATACACACCTAATCATAAAAAACTCAGTGTAGTCACCTTACGAAGTAGGTCAGTTTAAGTCCTTAAAAAACCTAAGTCAAATTATCTGATATTATACAGTTCGATGCATCTTCATCTCCTTTTTCGAACAGTGAAAACTGCAGCTCTCTATCTTGTTCCTATCAAAGACTGCCGAACTACTTTTGGATCATCCTGTATAATAGATACTAAAAAAGAAGAATATAGATTTTATTAGTAAAAATTTTTTTTGCGAAACACGATCTATAAGGAGTAACAAATTTGAACCTCTCACAGACATTTGCTAGAGACTGTCATGAACGTTGTTAATATACAATCAAAGATCGTATATTAATAAAGTCTCATTATAATATATGAACTATTATCTTCAGTGTCCGACTCGTGTCGGGTCACAAAAATTTGATCCATGTCGGACGCTGATAGGTACTGTATTGTTTTTTTCAATGTTTAAATAAAACGATGGTGAAGTAATATATATCAACATAGATAGAATAAAACAATCGTCCTACGATAAGCAACAGTAGCTATATCGTGTTTCGCATTTTAATTCTACAGAGATTATACAAACAGGTTTTTTTTGTCTTATCTCTATAAAATAGGGTATGGGTTTTTATTTCATTCACACCTACATACTCTTATGATTATCGTACTCAGATTCAGCTTTACAAAACAGTAACTTTTTTTTTCACTATCTATATGATATAGAAGATAAATACTTGCTCTACATTAATTAAAGTCCACAACATGCTTGACTTTGTTGCATTTGTAATAAACTGTTCTCCCATGTTCTGTATCTGCTCTTCTGCTTGATCAACATTGTTAAATGTAGTTTCGTTAACTTAATAGTTCGATTTTGTTTTTTTTTTTTTGGTAAGATCTTTCATTTTCATAATTTCTTCCAATCGGATACATCATATGCGTATATTGAATAACTTGTAATCACATTGATCTTTTTTACTTGTGGACTCTATGCTAAAGTCGGAGGAAACGA